GGGTGTTGGTCTCCATCCAGTTGCGCGAGTTTTTAGCCATCCTGCGGGCACCGCTGCTCTGAGCTTCCTCTATTGGGGGAGTGCGCAACCGGCGCCTCTTCTCTCTCTCTGCGTCTGTCTTTCTTCCTCCCTCCCTCTCCCTCCTCCAGCCCCATTCTGGCCTCTCCCTTCCGCTGCGCACCTCGTGGTGTAAGGACTGCGTTGCCCACCGTCCAGTTCCGCAGCCTGTTGTCGAGGGTGGGGGAGTGCAGCGGTCAGCTTGGATCCCATTCACAGCCTTCCGGCGTTCCGAACACCCCGAGGCCAATCTACTCTTGCGACCGGGGTCGTGAGAACGGAGAGGGGCAGGCCGCAGGCATGCTTCTGCCACCACTCAAAGGGCGCGTCCGGCTCGAACTCGAACGCGATCGTCGTCGCCTGGGAGATAGCCGCCGAGGGGAGTGGCTTAGGGAGCGGCCGGCTGACTGTTGCTGCGTAGAGAAGACGGAGGGTGATGGGGCTCCCTGGGCCGCATTGTGCCTCGTTGGTCGTCGCATCAGTGGTGATGTTGCTCTCCTCGGCCATCGCATCGTCCCCCCCCAGCCCGACGTCGTTTATCACCTGCACCGCAAAAGGGCTACATCGTGCGCACAATGCACGGATCCCGGAAGGGGGGGGGAAGGGGGGGGCGGATGGTCTCCCCACTCTATGGTGCGTGAGGGTGCCACCGCTGCCACTACGCATTGCTAACACAGCAAGCTGGACCGTATGTGGTCAAGACATTCCTTTGTCCGCCCTGGTGCAGGCAGGCTCACGGGGTCGGGACGGCTCTCGGCCGCCCCCTATCATGAGGGGTGTGCGGCATCCTGAGCGCGCGATTGGGTTCTGGGCTCAGGCGCGAGGCCGCAGTACCTCGTGCTCAATCTGGCCCACAATCGAGAGGACATTCCTGGAGACGCCCCCCGGCATCTCCATCATTGCTCCTGTCGCTTGCACCACGCCGGCGTCAAGGTCTTCAAACGTCTCGACCACCCCGTCAAAGACGTACATACTCATTCAGAAAGGCGGCCGCTCGAGCACCGAGCTAGCCGCACGCGTGAGCAGAGGTACAGCACAAGCAGGCTCTCCCGGGGGAGCGGCGCAGCCCTGAGATTTGTGGGACAAATCATTTTGCGAAATCGGTTTACCTTTGGCGGTGTGTTGTGATTGATGCTCTGGTGGTCGCGAACGGCCGCCGGAGGAGGAACACGACGCGCGCAGTGAAACGTTCTCCCATTTGCCCCCTCGGGGTTCCGGTCGGCAGGGCCAGTTTGCACAGAGCCTGGCAGGCTCTCTCTCTACATCGACGTTGATACGACACACGTTTCATTCATCTTTCTTGTAGTGAACAGGCCGAGTTCGCGGTTTGAGCGCCCAGCGCAGACCGACCGACCGCAGGGGGGGGGTCCGGTCGACGGCCGCGGAAGACCGCAGACCGGAGGGGGGTTCCGGTCGGTCGGAGCACAGACCGAGGGGGGGGGGAGTCGGTCGGGTTGGCTCGAGGGTCACACACACCGCACACCGACGCTCGCCGCAGCTGTGAATAAATTAGTATCTCGAAATACTAGAGACCAAGCGCCCTCTCCCCGTCTAATCACTCCTCGTCGTCCGAGTGCGGGCTGAGCTCGAGACCGAGACGCTCAGGATTGGGTCGGAACACGAGCTTGTCCATGTCCACACTCTGGTCGTCGTCGTCCATACGATTAGCTTCGCCGGCGACACACTGTACCCGTTGACGAGCCGCTTGAGCGCGGCCAGAGCGTGTACAAAGCGACGGCAAGCAGAACCAGGCCTGCGACTGCGTAGATGCTCCACACACATGTCACATGTACATGTGTGGGGTCGGGGGCGTCGGGCTTGCTCGGGCCTCGGCGAAGAAGTCTCCTTGGCGCTTGGCTGCGTAACTAGTTTTCATAGTGAAAACCGGCGATTTCGAAGCGCCCGTGGCGGTTCGCGAGAAGGAGGGGGAGAGAGCGTTTGAGGGGCTCACGGCAAGGACACCGACCGAGGGGGGGGTCGGTCGTCACACCTCCCGCCGCCGAGAGAGCGACCGACCGGAGGGGGGGTCCGGTCCACCTCCGGGGCAGACCACCGACCGGCGGGGGGGTCCCCACGAACTAGGGGGGGTGGGTACAAAATGACGCTCGTATTAGTAACCTGCCACGTACCACGAGGGTAGATAGAGCTCTGTAGTGTGTTGCCACCGATAGAGACTGGTGACCTGTGAGGTGCGTCCCACCTCACAGTGCCGCTGCGCAACCACAACGCAGACCACACCCGGCAGCAATTGACCCCAATCAAGGTTATGAGAGCGGCCATAAACAGGTGTTATGGCTGTTATGGCTGGCAGCTCATAACACCCCATAACACCTCATAACACCTCATAACACCTCATAACACCTCATTAACATAACACCTCCATCGCTGTTATGGCTGTTATGCCGCCCACCCTACCATAATCCATAACACCTCATAACACCTCATAACACCTCATAACACCTCATAGATAGCACTCATAACACCTCCCACTAGTTGTTATGACGGCCACAGCATAACAACCTCATAACAGCAGCTATGACTCGGCCAAAACCGAATTTGACCCCTGCAAGGATTTTTTCTTACGGAGCCCCCGGCCGCGCGAATCCTGGCCGTAAAATTCTTCTTTTGGAGCGCCCGCCCCGTGCCGCGTAGCTACTACCAGTCAACCATGGCCTAGCGGATGAAGATGTTCATGAGCCAGAAGCCCTCGTCAGTTGACCTGCGCGTCTCCGACTTCAAGAGGATTCCCGGCTTCAACTATGTGCTGTCTGTGTCGCGACGGAGGACGACCACACGTACAACTCGCTGTGCTCTGAGATCCGAGAGGGCAAAGGAGAAAATAGTTGGCGATCGATGCCGAAGCTCGCGCGCGGCAGCGCGCCGGAAGCGAAAATTCCAGCGGCGAGCAGTTCGGTGTGGCCTCTCGGGCCATAACACCGGTGGATCCGGGACGGCTCTCTCATAGCAGCCCATAACATGTTATGGGTGTTATGGGTGTTATGGGGCCCTATGCCCCGAGAGCCATAACACCATATAACAATAACTGTGCAGAGGTGTGCAGTGGGCGCGGGTGCACAGGCAGCGGGGTTCCTAATCGTCCTAACTCTCTCGAGCCTAACCGCCAGCGAGTCACTTCTCAATGAACACTTTAGTCACCTCTTAGCCTTGCGTGGCACCTTGGAAAAGGCCACTACATGCTTGTGTCGACGGCTTGCGTGACGGCGGGTACTGACGTACTCAGTCAGTACTCTCTGTAGAGTGCACAGCGCGTCCACACTGCAGAGCCAGAGCCAACCGCCCTTCCCAACCTCGCCCGACGAAGCACAAGGCCGAGCTCGTGGCTCAACGAGCGACCAGAGGACCCCCGCCCGCCCCCTCCAAGCCCTCCCCCCGGCGGAGTCCCCTATGAGCGCGCTGAGCCGCTCATCCCCTTTGCCGCTGTGAAGACGGGCGTCAGGCGGTCGGTGAACTCGTCGAGCTGCTCCTGCGGTGCGGGAGCGGAGGCGGCTCGAGCCGAGATGGCGGCGCACGCGCGAGGGCAAGGCGGGGGGCGGAAGGGGGGGGCGCTCCGCCCAAAAGGCCGGGGGGGGGCGGGGCGGGGCGGGGCGCGCCTGCGGGTACGCCTCCTCCACGACCGTCCTCGCCTCCTTGGCGACGGTGCGGACCTGCTCGACCGTCGAGTCGATGGCGGCGCGGTCGATCGGCAGGGAGAGCACCTGCCGGAGAAGGTGGGCGGGTTACTCCGCTTGCTGCTGCTGCTGCTGCTGCTGCTGCTGCTGCTGCTGCTGCTGCTGCGGCTGCGGCTGTGAAGTGAGCCGAGCAGCGAGCACACAAGGTGATCGAGCCGGGAGGCGGGGAGGAGGGACTGGAGGGAGGACGTGCGCCGCGCGCGCGCCTTCGAGACGGCGCCCTCGATCGCCTCTGCCAGGTCGCCCGGCGGGACGAGGGCGGGGCCCGGAGTGTCGAGCGGCATAGCGGTCCCTATGGCCGCACATTGCAGCGTGCGCAGAGGGCGGCCTTGCTACGCGGCGGCCGCCGCCTCTCGCTGGCGGACCGTCCGGCAGCCGCACCGACCCCTGCGGCGCGAGGTAGTGCCTCAGGATCCGCCCGCGCAGCGCGCCGTCGCCGGTGCGCGTGAGCTTGTGCAGCAGCGCGAGGCCTGGCGGCGTCCGCTTCTCGAGCTCCTCCTCGGTCCGGGTGTGGATGTGGGTGAGCAGCTTGAGGAGGGAGTCGTCATCCTATCGACAGGTCCTGGACACGTCCTGGACGTGTCCTCGAGGTGTCCCGCTTGAGGAGGGAGCCGTCCGCCTCCTCGCGCGCCGCCTCGACGTTCTGCTGCAGCACGTACAGGAAGCCTGCGTCGAGCTTGCCGTCGTTGATCATTTTGCACAGCTTGGCGTCCAGCTTGTTGATCTCCCCCGCGCCGAGCAGGTCCTGCAGCTGCTCGCGCGCCAGCGTGAAGCGCTCGTGCGAGCGCCGCTCCACAGCGGAGAGCAGCGCGGACAGCTTTGCAACCTCGTCCGTGTCCGGCTTGCTGGCGGTCTGGACCGCCTCGAGCTTGCTCGCGAGGGTCGGGACGAACGTCTCGTCCACCTGCTCCAGCCACTCGTCGAGCACCGGCTCGAGCGACCCCGCCGCCTCGGCCGCGCTGAGGATGCCTGCGAGAGCGTCGTCAAAGTCGAGCTTCTCCGCGGCAGGAGCGTCGCAGAGGAGCGGCGGAGCGGCGCGGCGCGGCGCGGCGAGCGGCAGCGACACGGCGTGGAGCGCAGGCGGCCGGAGCGGTGGCCGGAGCGGCACGACGAGTGCGAGCAGAAGCGGAACCAGCGCCACCGTCATGATACGGCTGGAGCTGGTGTCAGGAGGCGCAGCACAATTTCTTTTTTATGTGGCAAGAGTATTGCATACGCTCATACAATGGATTGTCATCGCCTGTGAGTGCGAGAAGGGCTAGCCGTAGGCGGCTAGCCCATGAGGAGAGCGTCCATAGACACCTCACTAGACCCCACATACGGTCTCGTCCGTGCCTCGCAGGCCGGCGAGATTGCTAGAGGTGGAGCCAGCTGCTCTAGCCTCACATGTCACTTCCTGTTGTCTGTTGTTTGAGTTGTGCCCTTGTTTGTGCCCTTGGCACCGTGGAGTGCTGGGGGGGGCGACAGGGAGGATGTGGCCCTGAGTTATGTATACGCCGACTCAGGGTGTGTGGCAGCCAGCTGGCTGTGTGTCTTGTGAGCCTGTTTGTGTCTGTGTGTCGCTCGTGCGTGTCGTCATCATCTGTCTAGCGTCCACCCATACCGCGTTGGTGTCCAGTCCGAGCCTGGCTGTTATTCACCTTTCTACCTACCTACCTAAGAGTATATCTCTAGCGTGCACGCTGGCTGTGTGTCTTGTGAGCTTGTTTGTGTCTGTGTGTCGCTCGTGCGTGTCGTCATCATCTGTCCCGCGTCCACCCATAACGCGCTGGTGTTCGTATGCGATTTCTTTTTCTCGTTGGCTTTCTCGACCTAAGAACAAAACTCTCTCTCTCGACCTAAGTGCTTTTAACCTAAGTGCTTTTAAAGATGTGTCTCGCGTGCATGTTGGCATCTGCCCGAGCTATCTCTCGGGGGCTACGCGACGGGATACTTGCCCGACGGCAGCTGGGGCGGCTGGATTACCCTACACTTCTCGGGCAAGGGCCGCTGGGTCGCAGGTGAGGAGCCGAAGCGCGAAGGAGGTGGACCTCGTCGACGGGGTGTGGTGTACGCGCTTGATAAGCAGCTGCGCGGGATCGAGAAGAACTTCCAGCCCGGCACAAAGCTCAAAGGTCAAAGCGCGTGCAGGCGCGCTTGCGGGCGCACAGGAGCTCGCGATGAAGAACGGCGACGACTTGTGCTCGATGGTGCGGCACCCACCCCGGCCGTTGGTGAACCCGCCGGCGCGAGTGGCGCGTGGTGCGGGACCCGACGCCGACCAGGAGGACTTTGCGCTCCGAGAGTGGCTCCGGTGCTCCTTCGATGGCGGCCGCGCCCGCTGCCGTGCCGGACGACGACACCCCCGTGCTCTTCGCGTCGCACGTCCCCGCCGGCGGCCTCACCGTGGGCATGCAGGCCGTCGCCGCGCTGCTCGACGAGGAGGAGGCGCCCGGTGCTGCGTCCAGCAGGTCGGGACGCAAGCGCAACCGCGCGAGCATGGGCGAGGTGCAAATCCAGCTCGCCCTCGCCAGCTGTGACCAAGCGCCCTCGCAGCGGCGGCGCGCAGAGCCGGCGGCGGCACCGGCAGCGCCGCCACCGGCAGCCGACGACGCCACCGGGGAGGATCCCGAGCCGCCATTCCGCTGCCCGTGCGGAGACGCGCTCAAGGCGCCGCTGCGCGGGCTGCTCTCTGCGCGGCTGGCGAGCGCGCGGGACGGCTCGCTGCTCACCGAGGCAGAGGCGGCCGAGCTGGCGAGCGGCGCGATGGCGGTCCGCTTGCTGCGGGCGGGCGGGGAGGGCGAGGCGGCGGCCGCCCTGGAGGCGGACCCTCGCCGGTCCCGCGCGCTGAGCCGCGCGCTCTACCAGGACGCCGTCTCGTGGGCGCTCTACTCGGCCGAGTGGGCCGACGCGCTCGCCGCGCACCTCCGCTCGCGCGGCTGCCGCAGCGTGCTCGAGGTCGCGGCGGGGGCGGGCGTCCTCGCGGCGCCGATGCGGCGGCGCGGCCTCGCCTGGCGCACGACCGACGCGGCCCCCTCGCGGGTCGGGCTGCCAGCAGGCCTCGAGCCGGAGGCGTGCGATGCGGCGGCGGCGCTCGCGCCCTTTGGCGTGGACGCGGTCTTTTGGGCGTGGTGGCCGCGGGGCGACGAGGGCGATGCCGCTCTCGCCGAGGAGTGCGCGCGGCTGGGCCTCCCCGCCCTCTTCGTGGGCGAGCCAAAGGGCGGGTGCACCGGGTCGGATGCGGTCTGGGAGCGCGCCGGGGCGCCACGGCCCCTCTCGAGCGAGGCCGAGGGGCTGGGCGGGGTGGACGTGCCGCGCTGGCACGGCGTGCGCGACCGGACGTGGCACGTGGGTCGTCGAGGCGCGCGTGCTGCGCTGGGATAGAGTACTGTGAATGCAGTTAGAGTAAAAAGAGAATCTACATTTTAATGCTTTTTGATCTTAGGGCAAGACCGATAGATAGAGGGACAAGAGGCCCCCTGTCCCTGAGCCACCTGGCTGTCAGGCTGTCACGTGTCAGGTGCTGTCAGGTGATCTGTCGGGCTGTCGGGCACTGTCAGGCACTGTCAGGTGCCTCTGTCAGACCAGCTGTCAGGTGCTGTCAGTGCTGTCGGGTGCTGTCGGGTGCGTGTCTGACAGTCGAGGTGCTCTGGTGCTGTCAGGTGCTGTCGGAGCAGTCGGGTGGTGCTGTCAGACGCTGTCGGAGCTGTCGGAGCTGTCAGGCTGCGCTGCTGCTGTCAGACGTTGGGCTGTTGCTGTCAGGTGCTGTCAGGTGGTGCTGTCGGGGTGCTGTCAGGCTCTGACACACACCAGCAACACTTATGACACTATCAAGAGGAGACCAGCAGGACTCTACTGGCGGCTACGCAGCTGCCCCCCTCCTACGGCGTGATCACGCCGGCGGCGGCGGCCGCCTGAGGAGCGCAGATGGCGGCGCAGGCGCAGGCGGCGGCGGCGGCACAGACGGCGGTGGCCACCCCCACCCAGACGCCGTAGGCATATGGCTGTAGGGCCCCAGAAGGCTAGCTGGTAGCTTCATTTGTAGTAGCACACAGCCGCCGGTGATAGAGAGGGGTCCGCAGAGGTGGGGCGGGAGGGTTGAAAGAGAGACCCATGACCATCCCATGACTACATGGACCACACTCACATGTCTTTGCATGTAATTTTGTTACACCCTCATGGGGCACAAGAAAGAGGCTCTACGGGGTCTCTGTGTACTAAGTGTACGGTCTGTGCTGCTGTCGGGCTGTCAGCGCTGCTGTCAGACCACTGTGTGCTGTCGGGCTGTCGGGCAGCTGTCAGGCTGTCACGTTAGGGCCTGACAGCGACGGGACCCCTCGACTGTCAGACTCTGCTGTCAGACTGTCAGAGATATACGTGCTGTCAGAAGACTGTCGGAGAAAGTGCTGTTTCAGCGCTGTCGGGCTGTCGGGCACTGTCAGGCGCTGTCCGGGGTTTGCTGTATCAGGCTGTCAGACCAGGGCTCAGGATAGACCACTACATGTACATCCTGTCACTACGCGCGGTCCCCCTACGCCCTAGGCGGTCACACACACTCTCTATCTCCCGGTGTTACAATCATGTAAACGCTCTCGCGGGTCAGCCGCGGTCTCGCTCTCGACTCTCGCAGCGGCGTCGGCCACGGCCGGCCGCACCGGCCGGCGGTGCTCCGTGCTCCAGCCGGGAGGTAGATGTCGCGGCTGGAGGGCCTCACAGAAGACCTCCCGCCACCCTCGCACAAAATCGTGGAGCGTGCCCGCTCCGTCGCCTCCGCCGCCGCCTCCGCCGCCGCCGTTGGCGCCGCCCGGCGAGGAGAGGACGGCGCGCATCAGCTGCTCCTCGAGCGACAGCCAGCCTGGCGCCGGAGGCTGTCGCCCAGGCGCATGCTGCCGCGCCAAGCCGGCGGCCATGTCGCGCGTGACGTGGCCCGGCTCCACCCCCAGCGCCGAGGCCACCACCGCCTCCAGCTCGGCGCGCCTGATCACTCGAGAACGGCGGTGAGGAGCGACCGCATTCGCACGCCGCCCTCCTCGCTGCACGCGGCTTGCCTCCCGGCGGGGATCCGCGCGCCGTGGTGCGAGGAGAGGGCGAGGGCGGCAGAGCGGGCCTTCGCCTCCTCCTGGCCCAGCGCCTGCCGCCGCGGCGCGGGGCTCCGCGACACGCCGTGCCTACAGGGGCCCGCCTCCTGGTGCAGCCCAAGCAGCGCGAGAGGGCAGGGGGAGGGGGCAGCGCGAGAGGGCTCGCCTGCGGTAGAGGTGCTGCCGGTGGCGCTCGTAGGCTGGCTCGAGCACGCCGTAGCAGCCGACGCAGAGCACCACCAGGTCGTGCGAGTCGCGGCTCTTCATGGGATCCGGCAGGTGCCGTCGGAAGGCGTGCGGCACCACGCTGAAGCGAACCAGCCGCGCCGCCGCCCCGTCAGCGCCGCAGCGGCTGCCGTCGCCACCGCGGCCCTCGCCGCCGCCTCCCGCCTCGCCGCCGCAGCCAACGCACGCGTTGCGCTTGCCGGCGAGCAGCCACGGCTCGGCAGCGTTCCCCGGCCCGCCTGGCTCGAAGTGCAGCCGGATCGTCCGCCCCGGCGCCTGAGCAGCGAGCGGGTCCCCCTCGGGCAGCAGGCTCGCCAGCCCCTTTGCGAGGTACCACCTGCCGCGCTTCGCCGCCATGCGGCACATCGGCTGCCCGGACGGGTCCAGCATCAGCCAGCCTGTTCGCACCGCCCACACTCAAGCGACTGCATCGCGGGCGCAGGAGAGAGGTGAGGGCTCGCCGTCGTAGACGGGCTGAGAGCGAGTCGGGATCCGGACGCAGCGGCCACGGGCCGCCGCCGCATCGCCGCTGCGCGGCGGCGGCAGAGAAGGGGCGGCCACTGTGGGAAGGGGCGCCCGTGACCGCCAGTCCAGCCGTGCCAGCAGCGCCAGGTAGACACGCAGCGAGGCGCGCGCGTCGTTCGCGGCGTACGCGACTTGCTCGACGCTGAGCGTGTCCGCCTCCCAGTTGCTCCTCCGCACCGCTCCCTTGTGCATCCTCTCGCCCAGCAGCTCCTCCGAGAGCGAGGCGAGGCTCCGGCCCGCGCAGCCGCACCGCACGGCGATCGGTATCAGGTCGACGCCGCCGCCGCAGCTGAGGCGGCGAGAGGAGCACGCGTCCACCCCGGTGTTGGCCCATGTCTCGAGGCGGCGCAGGTCCTGCGCAACACCCACTCCGACCTTGCTCGTCCGCGGGTCGGCGAGGAGCCGCAGCAGGGCCTCGGGCGGGGCAAGCTTGGAGAGCTGCACCACGACTGTCTCGTCGCCACAGCTGAGCTGCAGCAGCGCCGCCGGTCGAGATCCGGCCACCCACTCCACATCGAGCCCCAGCACGCGGTGGGTGCATGACCAGCGAGTCAACGCGGCGTCCAGGACGCTAGCCGAGTCGATCACGGTGACTGAGTGGCGTCCGTTTGCACGACGGCGCCGCCTCAGAAGCACGAGCGCCACGCAGGCAGCGGAGGCGACCAGAGCAGTCCAGGCGATCTTCGACATCGGCGTCGCGAGCGAGGCTGCTGCTCAGAGTTGGCCAGATCTGTCTTCAATCAGTACACGACTGTACAACTGAGAGAGACGGTGAAGGGGGTGAACCGCGCCATCCGAGCTCTCGCCCCGAGCCGTACCCGTGTGCCGTAGAGGCCCCTACGGGTACCTAGGGGCCTAGAGAACAAACCCCCTCTCCCTTTTCTCCCATTAAGCTAAAAGTACGTACAACTGAAATACTGAATGTGAGGTCGATCGGCGGAAGAGGATTCAGCCACCAGAAAAAGAATTTTCGGCGACCTTAGCTTGTGAGTCTCTTCTTTCCTTCTACCACAGACGCGAGTGGCAAAAATATCAATAGAGAGAGAATAGATGCAAGAAAGATGCCCGGAAACTGGAGTCCTAGTACATTGCGGGCGAGGGGGGCAGGCAGCGGAGCAGCGGCGACGGCACCAGCGCCTCGAGGACCGTCTCGGGCTCGTAGACCTCGGGCGGCAGCCCGTGCTCCGGAGTGAGCTCGGTGACGGCGCGGTGCGACGACCAGAACCTCTTTGGGTCCGCGTGCGCGTCGTTGTCGTGCGAGACGACGCCGACCACCTGCGAGGCGGCGTTGACACACGGGCCGCCCGACGAGCCGGCGTGCACCCACAGCCGGCTGCGGATGAGCCCGCTGTCCACGCCGAGGCAGCGCGAGCGGTCGAGGTAGAGCTGCCGCATCGAGTCCCGCCACGACGCCCAGCCGCACACGGAGAGGTCGGCGCCATGCGCGAGGGCTCTGCGGCTGCGGTCGAGCTCGAGGGGCGGAGGCATCCGACCCACCCCCTCCGCGGGGTCGTCGGAGCGGGCGGCAACCTCGAAGCGCGAGAAGGCGTTCTGCGCCTTGCCGTACGCGGGCGGGTCGAGCGCTAGCGCGCCGCCCACCTTGAGCACCGCCAAGTCCTGCAGCGTGGCGCCGTCGTCCGAGCAGCTGCGCAGCAGACTGTCTGGCGTGACGCAGCTCGCCCACGCCACCCACCGCGCCGGCTTCGCGTCGCCCTCGTACACGCCCAACGTGAGGAGGCAGTCGGGGCCCGCGTACTCGTCCCTCGCCCGCCGCGCGCGGTAGCCCACAAGCACGTGCGCCGCCGTGAGGATGTAGCACTCGCCCGCGTCCCGCTTGACGACGGCGCCGGAGCCCATGTCTGCGAAGCGGCCCGTCGGCAGGTGGAGCAGGCCGACGCGCAGCGTCGCCGCCTTGAGGGCCGGGTCTGCGTTCCTCTCGAGCCGGCGGACCAGCAGCAGCGCGAGCACCAGGCTGACCCCGCCGCCGTAACGCACCGCCTCGGGCCAGTAGCTCCGCTCGAGCCTGTTGAGGCAGCGCTGCCGCTCCGCCTCGCCCGGCTCGCGCCGCGCCGGCTTGAAGGCGGCAAACAGCCCAAAGCAGAGGCGGCTGCTCCGCTCGGCCTCGGGAAGCTCGTGGAAGAAGCGCCAGTACGGACCCTGCCCGCCCGCGTTGCACATGTCCGCGTCCGACTCGTTGCAGCCGCCGCCGCCCACGCGCGGCGGGTCGCACAGGCACTCCCGCAGCCGGCCGCCCGCGTCGCGGCAGAGGTAGACGTGCCGCAGCCGGCTGCGCGAGCAGCTGCGCACCGCCGCTCGCAGAGGACGCCGCTCGACCGGCAGCTGCAGCAGCGGCGTCGGAAGGAGCAGCCGCGTGAGCGTGAGGCTGATGCCGAGCACGAGCAGCGACAGGAGTATGCGCGGCCTCGCCGAGGCAGCGAGGCGAAGCCGGTGCACGTAGCGCCGGGACGCGCGCATCAGCTCCGTCAGCAGCCGCATGAACGCGTCTCTCGCCGTGACGGGCTCGCTCTCGTAGAAGAAGGCGAGCTTGCCCTTCAGCGTTTTGTTGGACCGCTCGAGCTGGGCGATGCGGCGCTCGGCCTGCTGACAGCGCTCCTCGAGCGCTGCGCGGTCGAGGCGGGAGTGAATGGGCTCCGCCATCCTGAGTCAGATGCGCGACAACACGGCGACCCTCTCGCGCCGGGTTTGGCCGCCAAGGGTCGGTCGGGCTCTTGATGGAGGTTCCCCGTGTTTGTCGGTCGGGCTCTTGCGACGGAAAGAGAATTCCCTTCGCAGTGAGCCACGCTGAACGAAATGAACGTAGAGCCGAACGGTAGGAAGCCGGGGAAGAAGACTCCGACGAGGACGAAACACCTGTGACCTGAAGAAGCTGAAGAAGCGCAAATCACTCTGTGTGACACATTTCTTGTTGGCTTCTAAAAATCTCTCTCTAAGAAGCTGCCGGCGAGCCTGGCGGTCCGCTGTACTACAAGGAAGTGCTGACTCGATTTCTACTCGAATTCTTCTACCCCCACGACTCGGAACGCGAATGTGACAGGACCATCGGGTCCTTCAGCCTCCAAAGCGGGATCACCCGAGAGCAGCTGAGCCTGCCTCTGGCCTCGCCTCCCTCTCCTTCAGGCATTCGTGGCATCCTATGGGTCGTCCAGAGTATCGACCTCTGGCTTGTCAGCCGGTCACTTGATGACGACCATGAAGTACAGCGATCGCCACCTCGCTGGCCTCTCCTCAAGGCCTCCCGACCGCGTCGAACTCACGGCGCGTGGTAATCCCGTCGTCAGCTGTAACGATGCGCCCGAACGAAGGGGACCCCAGCGCCAGCATCATCGGTCGGTGGAGGTACAAGTGTTCGAAGAGAGAGTGGACCTGGGCAACGATATGACTTGGCAGAAATGATCGCAGTGGGCGTCAGAAGAGTCGTCCTTGCGCGAGGAGAGCTCGATAAACTCGAGGCACGAGGGGCCAAAATATATGCCACGAGGAGGGCAGAGTTGCGCCGAAAGGCGGGAGAAGCCGCCGCCGACATTAGTGTGCGAGAGCAAGGGATCGGCAGGCGGCGGCGGCGTCGCAAGACGAGGCAGACGAGAGCGACGCGACAGAGGAGGAAGGAGGGAGAACGACGAGAGTGGGACGACCGCGAGGTGGCATGAAGGTTGCAGCGAGAATCGGCGAGGAGGAACTGCGAAGGAGATAGAAAGAGGCAGACGACCAAGGGTTTACATGTAGGGTGGGCGACGGCTAGCACCACACTCCTCTCCTTAAAATCCCTGTGTGGTGGCGGCGTGCTGTCCTCCCATTTTTCTCTTGGGTCTCTGTTTTCTTTCTTTCTTTGACGCATCACGCACGGCTTAGTTTCACGGGTGTCCGCGGCCCCACTGTGCCTGGAGCCGCTGGTAGGACAGTGACCGCCGCAAACCCTGTGTTCAGCATGGGATTTCGGTTTTTTGAATGCCAAAAAACTAGCGAGGGAAAAGTAATTCGAGCAAACCCGCGGCCGCAATGAATTAAAAGGGGCGGGTTTCGAGAGGGGGAATTTCGTCTCACTGGAGAATCTGGGAGAATCTGCGGCTAGGCCGGTCGCTCCCCCGTCTTTGGGCCCTGTTGAGTCGTTTCGGAAGTTGAAGTTGGCGCATCACAAAGAACCCAAATCCAACCCTGCCAACCGAGCAAGCCCATGGGGGACGCGAGGTCTTGCTCCACCTTCTCGGCGCTCGCGTCGCCCAACCTGAGAGCCTCATCCGCCATGCCGGGGCACATCTTGACCGGAGCCGGTCACATGTCCATCGTGCCCAAGACGGGGCACGGTCGACTCGACCGCGGCCGATGGCACCGGCCCAACGGCCGACCAAGATTTTACGCCTCCGAACGCCGGGCCGGTGAGGTGGCGGGTCGGGCGACACGGAAAATCGGTGGCTGACAACGACTTTTTGAGGCCATCGGTTTGAGGTCTGCAGACATTTTCTGGATGATCTCGCATTTCCCGAGGCGTAATCGCAGATCCAGACGGCCCAGCAGGTGGGCGCTGCAGGCGAGCCGCCTCACATCCTTCGCCCCCCCCGTCGCTCACGCTGCCTCTGAAGCACCGGACCACCCCCCCCGCGCCCAGGCGGCCTAGCTGCCGCGGGCTCCACCCACGCGGGCCACCATCAGCGCCGCCCGACGGCTCAGAACCTCTCTCTTTAGGTCCCACAAAAGGCGGCGAGCGAGCGGCGAGGCAGATGAATCGAGCTCTGGACGCATGCCGCGAGAGCTGTGAGGGTCGCAGCTCGGCCTCCATCTTGCCCGGTAGTGGCGCGTCGGCTTGCCGGCTCACGGGGGTCACTGCCCCTAGGTGCCGCCTCACCTCGCCTCTATGCACCCTTCACCCTCTAGCGCCTCACCCTGCCCGGTGCCGTGGTAGTGGCGGTGTCAGCCATG